GAAAGTGAGGTTCAGATTAACAATGAGAGTGGCAACTAAAGGGATGTGGGTGCCATTTAAAAAGTTTAAAATAAATAAATAAATCTTTCCTAAGAGAAATATGGGGCCTGGCATTCTGACTATCTTCTGGAAATGCTAGTTACCTACTGGCTTCTCAACATTCTAAGTCCCTACCCTGAACAAGTATGAAGATCCAAAAAGTCAGAAGTCCTTATCTGCATGCTTGTTCTGGGTTAGTGACAAAGTATTCAAGGCAGAGAGTCTGAATGACAGGGATAGATTGAAGACCATACTTCTACCATCTTCCACCCCACAACTTCACAACTTGGGTGAGGGCTAGAAGAAATTAAGAATTTTAATTGAACTACAGGTGAAACTCGAATAATTAGAATATCGTGCAAAGTTCATTTATTTCACTAATGCAACTTAAAAGGTGAAACTGATATATGAGATAGACTCATTACATGCAAAACAAGATAGTTCAAGCCGTGATTTGTCATAATTGTGATGATTATGGCTTACAGCTCATGAAAACCCCAAGAACCCCAAATCCACAACCTCAAAAAAGTAGATTATTACATGCAATCAATAAAACAAGGATTGTACATAGAACAATATCGGACCTCTGAAAAGTACAAGCATGCATATGTACTCAGTACTTGGTTTGGGCTCCTTTTGCAGCACTTACTGCAATTACTTTTGCACGATATTCTAATTATTCGAGTTTCACCTGTATAAAGATGGCAACAGTATCCCTGTGGGAAAGTAGAGCTTTTTTAACTATTTATTTTCTTTTCCAAGTTCTTTTCGAATTAGCAATGCTTAAAGTGTCGGCTAAGTGCTAACAGCTGTCTGTGCATGGTAAAACTTTTTTTCTGCAACAAGGGCTTAGCACACTGCTAATCCTTGTTAGTGCTTTGATAGAATAGATCAAATCTTTTTGTAATTTGTAAACAGCTTAGAGCTACAATAACTTTTTTTTGTAGGTTAACCTTGTCCTTTCTCTATGCGAATTTCAATTTAGTAATTTTGCCACCTTGAATAAATCCTGGAAAAGTTGTTTTCTATTTAGTGCCGCTTTACAGCTATAGCTGCAATATTGTCATTATTATTCACTCACAAAAAAATTACATGTGATGCACAACATTCCCTAAATAAGAAAACCAAAGAAATTGATGTTGACATGTGAGGAACTACTGCTACCCCCTTACATACTACCACACTTTTTATATTGATTAAAGGGGTTTATCTCTCCTCCCATTAACCCCATGGCAAAGTATGTAATAGGTATTAATTTTTAATATTTTAATATGAATTTTAGGTTTTTCAGTTGTATTGGATATTTGAATGTTTTAGTTGTGATAGCCGTTACCAATAGGGATAAGCTGAGGTTAGCACCGGGACTGAGCTCCTCTGAACTCAGGAGAAAGCTCCTTCCCCTGGTGCTAATTTGGTCCAAACCTGAACTCATCTCTAGTTACCAAGAGACCTAAGTAATAAAAATCTGGTAGGGTTTCTTACCTTTTGGCACTCTATCCAAAATCAAAAAAACTTTTGGCCTGAATTCCACTTTAAAGGCATGGACTACTTTCCAAAATGTTTTAAAACAACTTCCCTATTAAGAGAGTAACAGTGTTACATATATGCTGAACACTGTTATGCACTCAAGGGATTTAGATCAGATCAGATATCTGATTAGGTTGATTTACCAAGCATTAGAGCATATTCACTTTGTAAAACACTTCACTTAGCTAGGTGAATTTCCCTTGCGTATTATTGGGTATTCAAATTGAAGATAGCACTTACTACGTGAACATACATTTTGCAAAGTGGATAATGAAGTAAACAGACTCTACTGCTTTAGGGCCACTATGTACCACAAAGCAGTGCACTGCACCACACGTTTTTGTGCTTAGATGCGTACTGTGCAATGCTGTGTTTGGCAGCCCATTAAAAATGAATGGGCTGCAAAGCACCTCAATGTATAAATAAACACGTGTTGTCTGAATTTTTCGTAAGACACAGGACACAATGAGGGGAATTTATCAAAACAGGAGCAGACTAAATATAGAGCAGCTGTGCATGGCAATCAGCTTCTTTCTTTCATTTTCAAGGCTTACCTGAACTGAACAGAGAAGCTGATTGGTTACCAGACACAGCTGCTCCAGATTTTGTCTGCTCCCTTTTTGATAAATTCCCCTCATTGTGTCCTGTGTGTTGCGACAAATTCCCAATGTGTGTGTGTCTGGACAAACTCTGATAGACAAGCTGCACTGCCTAAGATATTCATTTATAATAGGGATGCACCGATACCGATACCAGTATCGGTATCAGGGCCGATATTGGGCATTTACGAGTCCGATATCGGTGCTTCAAATTTTTAAATACATTCAGCTGGCAGCCTGTTGGGGATCTTGCGGTGGTTGTTTGCAGTGATAGCCGCACAGCGAGACCCCCGCACACAGCCCTGGCGAGACACCATACACAGCCTTGGTGAGCAACACAGAGTATCTAGCTTCATATTATTCTGCTTTGCTGTACAATTTATTTCTGGGATTTGTAGTCCTCTGTAGCTGATAGTATTATTCTGCATTGGTGTATAATTTATTGCTGGGATTTGTAGTCCTATAAAGCTGGTGGTCTTCTGCATTGCTGTATAATGTATTGCTGAGATTTGTAGCCCCTCAACAGCTTGGAGTCAACACTAGAACTACTCCGCCAATGTATCTATCGGTGAGTACTTGAGGAAAAGTATCGGTACACGTACTCGGTTTTGAAAAAATGGTATTGGTGCATCCCCAATTTATACAAAATAAATACACCATACAGAGTAATAGAAAACATGTTTAATATTTATAGTTGTATAGTTATAGTTTATAAAATAGCATGAATGCATATCATTTTTTACAAACATCAAAAGATATAACATTTAACTAGATATATCAATATTGCTGATATCAGTATAACCAATGCATTGAACGCAGGTAACGAAAAATCTGAAGTGAACTGTTTTCTGTCAAAAGAATATTCATCAGTAGATATCTACCATATGAATTAAATGTTCTTGTAGAAAGTGAGCTGAATTGGAGAATTTTTCCAAATCAGCTATTTTGTCCTAGATTGTTCACTTCTCCTGCCTTCTCCAAACTCTTCACCCTTTTGTGAATAACCCTGTAAATGTTCACATTAAAGACATTAATGGTGGATTTAGATCCACTGTATATCATTGGCAATAGCTAATCTTATGTTTCTTCAGCAAAAGTTATTTTTCCCTGTGATATACACAAAGAGAGTATTGATTTGGAGCATTACCATATCAATCAGCTGTGTGCTTAAGCTTTGTGAAAAACTGAAGGAAAAATGTTTGGTCGTTGTAAAAAAGGGAAGGCAATGCTGCATTCCCACAACATGATTAAAAACAATTTCTAATTTGATCTTAATTGTCCAATATATTTATTTACTAACAGGCCAGTTTATAAATTTCAAACCAAAAGCAGGCAATGTGTAGAATGTTTAGCATTTTAGCCCCAAATCGGGTCACGCACAAGACACCTATATCTTTTGAGGCCAACTGATTTCCACTGAGATATTAAGGGGCTGGAATTTGCAACAACTGATAATGAGACTTGCCAGCACCGACAGGATTAATTGTGGCTTAACATCACATAGGTGGGGAAAATCTAAATAGGATTGTTCAACAAGTAAAACACAAGTAAAAAGGTAATCAGCAATTTTCAAATATTTTATATTAGTTTGCTATGGGGTCTATTCACTAAGCTGCCGAAGGATCTAGCCGTTGCTTTGGCTGATCCTTCGGCTAGCTTCGGCCCCAGGACCCTATTCACTATAGTCCGTACAGCTCCCGAAGTTGGCCGATCGGCTCAGTCGAGCCGAAGGCATATGCATCGGCTGAGCCGAGGTGAAAGCCGAAGCTGGTCGAATGGCCGACCATTGGGCGGTTGCCAGCCGTCATCTCACGGCTGGCTCCAGCCACTTGCAGACAGATCAGCGTCCCTGGTTACCAGATAACCAGGGGCACTGATCTCCAGATAGCCCAACTCTCCAGACGCTCCGGGAGTCTCCCGCTATTAGATAGCGGCTCCCGGCCGCCCGGGAGAGAAACACTTTCTCCCGGAAAGTTTTACTCTGCTCGATCGAGCAGAGTAAACCTTTCCCTGCTCTGTTGTCTTTTTTTTTCTTCTGACATCAGAGCCGTTGGCTGCCGAATGAAAAAAAAAACCAGCATAGGAATGCATAGCTACATTCTTATTGGCTATTTGCACTGTCAATCAGCAGAAGGGACCTGAAGTTCTCAATCAGGTCCTCTTCTAGTGATTGATAGCAGCAGAGGGCGGGTGCAATAGCTAGTTTGCTATTGGCTATTGAAAAGTGAAATAGCCAATAGGAATCAAGCTATGCATTCCTACTGTGTTTTTTTTATTTATATTCTGACGGCAGCAGAACCGCCCTGCCAATAGAAAACAGTTGGGCGGAGCTAGCTGTCACTGCTAGCTCCGCTCAATCATTTTCTATTTTATTTTTTCTACTTTTTTAAACTGTTTTTTTATTGTGCTCGGTACCACAGAGGTACCGAGCAGAACAGCCGGCATCTATAAGAATAGGCTGAACAGCAGCGAGTAGCCTGCTGGAGGTTCGGCTTAGCCAATCCAGATGTTGGATCGGCAGAGTCCAACTCCTTCTGCACTTTGGGTCGGTTATTCACTCGGCTGCCTACGGCCTACTGCCTAAATGGGAACAAATAACACATATAAAATAGGTGTTATCCCAAAGTGACAGTCATGTTTTGCACTGTGTGTTATCTTAACTATAATGATTTTATTTTAGTAGGGGCTAAATCAAAGACTGTCAAGAACCCTTAGTGCAGGGGAGAACTTATATTTGCAAATATTGCATTCCCCCTAGAAGTTTTATCATTTTTACGATGTTGCTTTTAAGTACTGGTAATAATTTTGTCAGTGCAACAGATGCGGGTTAATCCTTCAGTGGTGTCCTGGCAGATGCTGTGTCGGCGCCGCACAGCACTCAGACATCTTATTCATAGCTCGGCCAGTAAAATTAACTTTTCCTCTCTTCTTTTGGATTGTAGTATATTCATAGGATTTTAGTTTGCTATAGTAATCAGAAAACTTGTTATAGAGAATGGAAATGGGCATTCCATTTAGAATGATACCAAAAGCAATGCAGAGGAAAGCAAACAGACGACCAAGAGGAGTTTCTGGGTAAGTGTCTCCATATCCCACTGTAGAGATGCTGACCTGAAAATAAAATAGCAACATTGTTCATGTGTTTACTTTCTTCATAGTGCTTGATTCCTTTACTAGTAATTATTATAGGGTATTATACGTAGGTCAAGTAGGAAGAATCACTTGTATGTAAAGATTACCTCTAGCACTGTAAAGCTCCATGGGCTTGCTTTAGCTGCTAATAATTAATCAACAAGTCAGTGAATGGTTAGACCACTTATCGTCTTATACAGACCACTTATAGTCAGCCAAATTTGTCACATTTAGAAAATATTGATGTGTCTAATTATAATGTCTTTGCTGCAGAACAATGAGCTTTGTTCACTCTATGGGTGCTTCCATTTTCCTCTCTTAGAACCAAAATATACTTGGCCTTAGTACATATATTACTATTATGATACATCATTCATGTAAACATCCCTGTACACCTCCTTCTCAGGGGCACCTGTATTTACCTTAATTCAGCCCTACTTACAATGGGGTACCATGCTTTACACATCCTGGATGTCTTTTACAGTGTTTATAAAGTAAAGCTGGCTATGCACAGTTCCAATTTTGTGTAAATCCCTGCTGAATGGGCCGCAATTCAAGCTGCAGGTGGCCCAGCAAGCACCATAGTATAAAAACTGACTGAGCTGGGTGGAAAATTGTCAGTAGAACAGTGACTACATTATATTAGATACAGTCACTATTCGGGTATGTAGTCCTCCACAGATGCTGCACCTGCCGGAATGCAATAGCTGGCAGTGGTGATTCCTCAATCCACAATGTTTAGCATGGATGAGTGAATGATTGATTTTCTCTTGTTTAGCAAACGGATAAACAAGACAGCATTTACACCTCCAGCAATAGAAGGCAAACCAAAGGCAATATCTATCTAAGAACAGCTGTGCCTCCTCCTGTCTAAAGCTGGCCATACGCCTATAGATTTTCTTCAGATTTTCTATGGTTATATGGAAAAAGTGCATCAGATTCCTTCATCTACGCTAAACGGTGTGGATGGAGGAATCTCCCACTGGGCCAAGCTTCAGTATCTTGGTAGTCGGCCCGGCTGGCTCTCAAAATACCTGAAAAATTCCTGTATGCGATTAGACTACTCAGGTATTTTGAGAGCCAGCAGGGCCGACTAGCAAGATACTGAAGCTTGGCCCAGCGGGAGATTCCTCCATCCACACAGTTTAGTTTAGATGGCGGAATCTTTGTAAAAATCTATAGGTGTATGGCCAGCTTAACTTATAACCTCCACTGAACGCTGTGCAATCTCCCACTCACTGGAGCTGTGTGCCCAATACTTGGCAGGTCAGAACGTGCTTGACTTTTACTCCAACAAGTTGCATTCTGGTGTTTGGGTAAGATGCTTCAGACTGCCTTTTGCTCACGATACTTCCAATATCTTGCAATACTTCACTTTGTGCAGTAACCTAATGGAATATCTAACAGCAATGGGGAATGAAGGAGGAAACAGGACCTCCTTGTGTTTTCATTTATTTACATTTTAAATGTACAGTATATAAGGCATATACATAGTTGCATAGTAACAGAGCTGTTAAGGTTGAATAAAGGCACAGGTTCTGTGCCTTTATTAGTTCAACTTATGTGTGTGTGTTTTACTAAGAGTATCTGTGAGTATTTCGTTTACTATGGAAGACATCTAAAAGATTCTTAAATGTCTCTATACGCTCAGCTGATATCACTACCGGGGGAATTGAGTTCCACTATTTTACCGCTCTAACAGTAAAGAATTCCTTTTGCAGTTTCAGATTAAACCTTTTTTCTTCCAATTTCAGATGGTAGACTCTTGTCTTCTTAAGAATCTGTATATTACTGTCATATCCCATCTTAAACTTCTCGTAAAAGTGTAATTTTTGTAATCTTTCCCTGGCTTAAATGCACCAGCCCCCTTATTAGTTTTAATGCCCTTCTCTGTACTCACTCCAGCTCAAGGACATCCGTTCTGTGGATCAGTGACCAAAATTGAACTGCATACATAAGATAAGGCTGAACCAGTGTTTTCTAGAACAACTGTACCATGACACCATAACAGCCTGTGTTATATCTTATTAACTTTATCAAGGGCTTGTTGATTTTATTTCCCATAATGCTCTGATATCCCCTTACATTTAACCGATTCTCTTCCATACTTCCAATTACCAAATCTTCATACAAATTCAAAGTACCATCCTACCATATTAGTTAATCTAAACAGACAACACCAAATCTTCATACAAATTCAAAGTACCATCCTACCATATTAGTTAATCTAAACAGACAACACAGACAAAACGATATGAAGATGAACCTACACACACTGCCCTGCTCATTTCTACCATTTAGTACCATCTAGTACTCGATAGATAGATAGATCGATTGATAGATAGATAGATAGATAGATAGATAGATAGATAGATAGATAGATAGATAGAATTCTATTACCCATCTCTATGCCAACCCAATTATACTGTCTAATTCATTACTTATAAATCAGTTTAAATCTATGTCCACGTTGAGACTCTTGCTCATTAGTGTGCCAACTTTGTATATCCAGTAGATTTATCTTTGTGACCCTTTTTGTTTCAAATTCAACCCCCCTTACATTTCCTTTTCAGTGCCCCATATTTAAATTTAATCCATCTGGTGTCATATTTATGGACCTGTTCAAAGTGGGTTTTTTTCTTTTTCACCCAAATATTATCAGTATCTTTTCTTAACCTTTATTTTCATTTTGCATAGTTCTTCCCACATATATTTTGTCACATGGGTATTATAATACATCCTTTACACGTGTACTTTTACTAATAATGAACTGTCTATCCTCAGTCTCTTCCTCTTTATCTTTAAGCTTAATCATCTCTTTCCTCTTCTCTTTTTTTTTATTCTATTTTGCATGCTTTGCATTTCCCACAATGGAAAAAAAACCTTTTATTTATTTAAGATCTCCTTCTTCTTCTGCTTGTACTGGGCACTAGATTATCTAAATTGACTTGTTATATACTATCAGTGGTTGTACCGAGGACCTAATACATTCTACTCTAGTCATCCCTCTTACTTCCTTTCTAACTTAATCTATCTTTGTCTTTTGATATCTGTTTAACATGAAAAAAAATTCTTAGATTGTTAAGGTATTCATCAATGCTTGAGCAATTTCCTCTAATGCGGAGCATCTGTCCCTTTGGTATACCCTAGAAATGTAAAGCATGTAAAACAGTAAAATGCAAAGGAAAGAGGAAGAAGAATAAACTTAAACAAAAAGAAATTGAGGTTAGACAGTTCATTACTTGTAATAGCACGTCATTTATATATTATAATGCCCATGTGGCAAAATATACATAGGAAGGATAACTAAAAAATGAAGAGAAAGGTTAAAAAAAATATGAATAATATTTGGACTAAAAAGAAAAATCACAATGTCCCGTACACTTTGCAAAGGTCTATCATTCTGGCCCCAGGGGGCTGAAATTTTGGGGCATTGAGAAGGTAAGTAGGAACTGAAGGGGGGTGAAGTTAGTCACTGCAAATATGATTTGTCACCACTCACAGCTGCTGTAACCCCTTAGATCTGATTTAAAATCCAGTGTTTTTTTCTCCTATTGTCAAAATTATTTGAAATGTAAACTAATTTTCTGAAACAGCAAATGGCAACTGATATTTGCCATTTGTGAAGAAATATCTTCACAAACTATAAAAATGCTTGTTATTTACATGCAGTTCATTCCTCAGATGAGGAAATGTTTACCATGTTAGCATGTGGGTAGAGATCATATGTATTTAAAATGTATGTATTATTTAACAATGTGTTTTTTTCTTAATTAATATCATTGGCTGCCATAAGGTCACGCGCTTGCTGGGGACCTCACGGCAGCCTTGTGGGGACCTTGCGGTGGCCGTTTACAGCACTGGCCGGCTGAACATCTCCTACTCCTCCTCCTTCCCACCGCTTGCACAGCCCTGGTGAAACCCGCACAGCACTGGTGAGACCTGCACAGCCCTTATGAGATGCTCACCTGCCCACGCAGCCCTGGTGAGATCCGCATTCACCTGTGCAGCCCTGGTGAGACCCGCCCCCACCCGCACAACCTGGTGAGATGCACTGATACCCATACTGGCATTGATATCGGTGCCGATTCTGAGTATTTGGGTGAGTAATCGTACTCACTCAAATACTCTGATACTTACCCTGATACAGGAACTTCCGGTCAGAGAAAGATTCCCTCTGACCGGCAGTGCCATGAGGCAGCAATGAGACAGCTTCCCGGCCAATCAGGAAGCCAGGCAGTGAGCTCATGACCCACCTCCCAGCTTCCAGATTGGCTAGGAAGCCGGCTTTACTTGTTGCTAGGCAGCCTGGCTTCCTGATCAATCAGGAAGCTGGGCGGCACATCGTGACCTGCCTCCCAGCTTTCTGATTGGCTAGGATGCTGGTATCACGCTGCCTAGCGACACTGCAAGGCAGCTTGGCTTCCTGGCCAATCAGCAAGCTGGGGTGTAGGTCATGACCTGCCGCCCAGCTTCCTTAATTGGTCAGTAAGCCAGGCTGCCTCGCAGTGTTGTGAGGGAGCGCGAAGCTGGTGTTCTTTTGATAGAACCCCGGCTTCACAGGCAATTAGGGAGCCGGGCCCATGGTACCTCAGGATGCCGGTATCGGTGAGTCTACCGAAAAAACAGTATCAGTATATTAGATATAGATATATATACTGTGTGTGTGTTGAAAAACTGAAGTTTATTGTGGACATTAAAAGCAATACTTACTGCTGCCCACCACCAGGCGTGAGGAATACTTGTGAAATTTGTGCCAGAAACATCATGTTCAACTGTGTAGACCATTGCTGAAAAAGAAAAGATTCCCATGGCAATGAAGAGAAATAGACAGCCTACTTGCTGGTAGCACTTTCGAAGAGTGAACCCAAAAGCTCTTAGTCCTGTAGAATGACGTGCCAACTTAAGGATTCGAAATATACGCATCAGTCTCATTATTCGAAGTACTTGTCCAACTTTACCAACTCGTCCTACAGCCTCTATTTCATGCTCATGGCTGGTCTTTTTACCACTTTTATCCTCATCAGAAACCGTCTCAAGAAGCAATTGTAGGTAGAGCGGCAATATTGCAATAAGGTCCACAGCATTAAGAACACTGCGCATAAAATGCTGTATGTCTGGAGTTGAAATGATACGCAGTATGTATTCTAATGTAAAGAATGCAATACAGATGGTTTCCACATGTTCCAGAAAAGATTTACCACTAGGAAGCCCTGCTGCATATTTATAGTGCATTTCTTCAACTGTGTTAAGTGTCATAGCCACAACTGATATAAGAACAAAGAAGCTGGATGCTACCGCCATGGCCTTGGCTGTGACTGAAGAGAATGGTTTTTCCATTAAGTTCCAGATACGGCGTCTCAGGTGTCCATTAGGCATGCCTCTAAAGAGTTCCTCATTCTCCTCTGTCTCCATTTCAGCTCTGAGTTCTCTTTGGATCTTTAACTGTTCATTGAGCTCATCTTGCCTTTCCTCAAATGATATGCGGCAACAACGAGGAGTATGTTTCACTCTTACACCCCAATAGTTGATTTCTTCCAGAAAGCTGCGAGGGCACAGCTCATCCCTTATATACAACACTCCAGTACGATAGAAGTTGTAGATATGATGGAATATAGCTGGGTCACGGTCAAAGAAATAAATTTCCTCCGCTGGGCTGTAATCATCACATAGATCTAGTTTACGCTGTCGATCAGTATACGTTGCCAATCGTCCTATACGAGTTTTAGGATAACTAGCTGCTACCATATAGGATATAAAGTAAGCAGTGCCACCTACATTGATATGTAGCAAATTGCTGCGAGCATTTCTATAAACAGAGGGAGAGAGTAAATGTATGTCTTGATCATCCTCATAGGATCCATATTCATTGCTAGAAATGAACTGCTTTTTCCATCCATCAAGTCGTTTTTCTTCTCGTTCTGCCCATTTCTGTTCCTCTACATCATCATCTTCATCCTCAATGTAATAAATGTATTTACTTTCAGGGGCCCACTGCAAGCCAGAATCTCTAGGCAGCCGAAATCTGTCCTCGTCACCACGGGGTTTTCCAGATCCTTCTCGGAAAAATGACAAAGGAGGAGCCCTGGCCCTTTGCTTGTACTGCAGCATGTCTGGTCAAGTTAAACCATCCCAGACATGAAAAGGAGGACAGTCATACAGGTATGCCAGAAGCAATGGCTATCTCTCCAGGGATGTATATCATATTTCTATCTTCCCTTGCAGTTTATTGCCACGGAAGGAAACAATAGCAAAGCATTTTATGCTGTATGTCTCTGACAGTTTTAAGTCCTGCTGACAAAGAAGATTTAAATACTTAAGAAGGGATTTTCATGTTATTATCCCATTCAGCCTACAACTTACAACATGCACTGGAGCTCTGAACAAATGTGTCACACTGATAGATATAGACATATAGCCAGTTCATAAAACTTTAGAACTAAATTGACATGAATATTCTTTCTATATTTATTATATATAGGTGGAAATGGAGATTCTTTTCAATAAAGATGGCATGTGCATAAATGTGATTACTGAACCCTAAAACACTGTAAGAAGAACGGGAAAGGTAGAGAATAGTTTGTATTCAATATAAGTTCTTATGCTTAAAATACATGTATAACCAAACTTTTTTTAGTTTATATCATGCATATTAGATATCCTCTTATACAGGGTCCTATTTGCCATAATGGCAGCTGTGGGCCAGAAGCATGGGTAAGAGGTTAGAGGGGCTCATGGGTATTTAACAAAAATGTGTGCCCATCCTTCCTACTGTTGCTGCCAGACATGTGCCTAAATCTAACAAAAGAACTAAGGTAAAGGGGGGTGTAAGGTACACTTACCGAAGGCTGCACTGGTGATCGTTGATGATGTCAACCAGGTCCCCTGTGCAGACAATCTGTGACAGGTGTTGCTGTCAGGCAGGGCACTCTGCAGTCAGGTCGTATACTGTGCATGGTGAGTCTGGCTCCTCACTCAAGGGAGTCTCACCTCTAGCCTAGGTTGATTTAGCTTTGCCTCTTTATGCAGGACTTTTTTGCAGCACTTAGTTGCCAACTATTCAGCATTCAAGAGTACTGTAGCATTAAGCATGTAAAGTCTAATTCACATGGGCAATGACATACATGTGATTATATGCATATGTAGGACAATTCTAAAAGAATGTAAATGCAGCTAATTTTTTTTTTTTAATGGTATAATGCGTACTGTTTATTTACTGGTATTTAGAAAAAATACAAATCTTTGCGCCTAAAGGTAGATTAGACACGCTGTATGCATTGAAACAAATGTAAACACATGGAATCGCATAATAAATAAATGTACATTTTGTATTTTAAGGTGTCATTCTCACAGACCTCCTGTGATTGTTTTATTTAAACACTGGAGAAATTGGGAATCCGGGAAAAAAGTGTTTGTTTTGGGTTAATATGCAAAATGTAGAAACATTTATTTATCATGGTTTTCACACATTTAGATATGTTGAGAGAATCGTATCTGTTTCTAGACCCGCAGAATTCTATATTTTCAAAATGAAAGTAAAGCACAGTGTGCATTATACCACTTAAAACGGTTACATGCATTTATATTCGTTTAGAAATGTCCTAAAAATGCACATAATCGCGGTATGTGATTGCCTGTAGAAATGAATCCTAACCCAAAACAAAGACTATACTTTCCAAATGAAATAAAACAAATTCAGGAGACACATGTAAATGAGGCCTTAGAATAGAGGAGAGTGGCTGGTTAACATGATCATAGGACAGATAATTGAGAACAACAGGAGGAACTGCTAGAACCAGGGACATCCTAATTACTGAAAGACCCATTGCCCAGAATCTCTGTGCTAGGGACTCACTGGCACAACCAGTACATTAAAGCAGATGTAAAACCTAACTGAATGGCATTTTGTTTTCCTAAATCATGGTGTAACAAACTCTTATGTTTTCTTTTATAAAATGTTGTTTTTACTTTTTTCTTTTTCATTCTTTGTTGTATATAAGCACTGCTGAATCTCCTGCAGTCACTTCCTGTCCATTGATGGCTGCACAGCATTTGTGAGGGTGGGTTTTGGTAGTTACAACAGGGGAACATGCCTGCACAACCTGGGTCATCAGGGCCTGCTTGTTGTCTCTGTTAGGAAAGCATATGACAGGTTGACAAAGTAGGACAGGGGTAGCCAAGCTTCGGCCCTCCAGCGGTGGTGAAACTACAAATCCCATGATGCATCTCTTTCCGGGAGTCATGTCTGTGGCTGTTAGAATCTTGCAATGCCTCATGGGATTTGTAGTTCCACCACAGCTGGAGGGCCGGAGTTTGGCTACCCCTGATGTAGGAGATCAGCTGGGAGAGTTTTGTCACCCTCTAAAAGGAAGTGGGCAGTGGCTTAACAAGAACTTTATAGCGGAATTGCCAGACATTATTTCATTTATTGCAGCAGATTTAAAATACTTTAAATGTCTTTTGAAATAATATTATCATGTTTATACTTATATAAGGTTTTATTACTTTGGTTAACATATACTTTACCTCAAGACAGTTAAATAATTTATATATTTAGTTGGGATATTTATTAACTCAATAGAGTTTAATCATTTATATATTTAGTTGGGATATTTATTAACTCAATAGAGTTTAATCATTTATATATTTAGTTGGGATATTTATTAACTCATTACAGTTTATTTATATATTTAGTTGGGATATTTATTAACTCAATACAGTTTAATAATTGATATATTTAGTTGGGATTTTTCAGATTGTTTTGTTTGTGGGGCAAATAATCGAAATTGGCAAACATACGTGGAACTAGTATGTAGCATACAAAATCAGTGCTTAGAAGCAAATGGGTTAAATATATTTATAGTAAAAACAAAGCCCTGAGTACATAGGCCCTCTAAAAAATAAGTGAGTTGGTCACTGGGTGGGTAAAAAAAGCAAACCAATTAAATATTTAACAACTCTGTGTATCAAGGGACAGGGTGTCCAATATGAAGATGATATTTAGGAAGAACAAGAAACCACCTTTTGTTACCTTTCTTAACCAGAAAATCTTCTTCTGTGCATTCCAGTGTTTGATTAGATCGCTTTAGTGGCAATTAAAGATAATTGCACCAGATGAAGGGATGGCAGTTGTTGGAGCTTACCCATCAAGTCAGGGCCCCAGTAACAAAGTAAAACTAAATCAGAGCGGGGCACAGCAGAGGTTTTTCTTACTAATAAATGGAAATGGGAAAAGTAGTATCTTACATTTTATATTCTACAGTGCTGAATGTCTTTGTGCTATAAAATATTGGAGGTAAGGGGCTGCTTTTCCCACTTCCCAGTAAAATTGGACCTTGCTTGAAGTGAAAACAGTAAACCAGAGGTGCACAATGTTTTAATTCATGAGCTATATTCAGATATTGCAAATGAAATGGTGTTTCTTAAGGTCTGTGGATACCAATAATCAGAGACGCTGTAACCTTGTGTCTCGTCCTGCATGATACATATGCTCTTTTAGACCTACTGAAAAGCGTAATCTAACTCCATTAAGTGAGTATATTACTTGCACTGCAAGTAATGGAAGTACATGTTGATATTGTGGTTGCATGCAATGGATCTAGTGTACTCAGTGTTTGGCTGGAATGGTGGACAGGGGATGGGTGGCACAAGTGCCGATTGTCCAATCTGGATATACACGGTACTTATTAAAGGCTTTGGAGTTTGAAGGTAGCTTGGCTGCCAGGTGCTCTCAAAGGCTGACGACAAGAAAAGAAGTAGGATGCCATGGCAGAGCAGGGCTCTGGCACGCAGTAGGCAGGGTAGCAGGCAGGGTAGCAGGCAGAGTTGTGGTCTGAAGGCTGGCCAAGGTCACACCAGGGAATCAAAAAAGTAGAGACAAGTTGTAGTTAGGAACTAGCCGGGTCAGCGTCAGAGGGGCAAGGGAGAAGAGAACAAGAGGAAGAGAACCCCATTTGCCACATGACAGCTTGAAAAGTAGTATGTAATTTTAATAAAATAATGACAGAAATTAAAAAAGATTAATAAATAAGTGCAGCAGGGGGTC